AAAGTCTTAAATTCATTGAGTTTTGGCAATTGTATACATCCATATTACCATCACCCAAAGCAAGATATAGAACATTTCTAGCACCTCAGAAAATCTCTTGTGCCCCTTTCTAGTCAACTCTCTCACAGTCAACACCATTCTGATTTCTATATCCATAGATTTAGATTAGTTTTACCTGATACTTCATATAAACAGAGTCACATAACCTGCTTCTTTTTTTCTTTTATTCATTAAAACAATAACAAAAATGCGTACACATAATCTAATTTCTTTTCTTTTGCAACATGTCAAAAGTTAACATCCCCAAATATTTGACAGCAGTGGCCTCTGGGTAGGGGGAATTTGGATGCTTATTACTGACTTCTTTACACATTCTGTTATAATAGAAAAGTATGCATATAATTTTATAATAATGAGGGAAAAAAAGCTTTTTTCATGGGGTGGAGAGGCATGGTTCTTGCAGAGAAGTGAACAGGTCAAGTTCAGAATAAGCCAGGTGAGGGAACCTTGCCATCTGAAGGCTGAGAACACCAGTACCTGGTGGTCTCTTGCTGGTGGCGGGGATCTTGGTACATCCTCTCAAGGTCAGAGACCCTGGAGCAATTTCCTGTCTCCATTCTTGGTTATCTCTTTGGATATGGAACTGTTTGACCAAAGGATTTCTCCTACCTCAAATTCTTCCCTTTGCATCTTAGCTAAGAGAAAATAAAGTGAGGGGTTTAAAATACTATGAAAGTCATGAAAAAAATACACCCCCCCAATTTTAAACCCTTGATCATACATGTGAGATTTTTACCATATGCATAAGGCATATGGTAACAAAATAAAATAAACAATTATAGACAAAACCTATGCACTCTGGACTCTAAATATTATCTGACCACAGATAAGGGCAATTCCTTGTTCTGTTTCCTTAATGGTCCTGCCATACAGATGGCTACACACATGGAGAAGGTGTGTGTATGAGAAGCATAAATGCAGAGAAAGATTGGATCCTGAAATAATATTTGCGGGAACAGTTAAAATGTGAAAAAGAGAAAACAACCTAGCAATTTCACAACAGAATGCAAGGCCTAACTTCATTGATTAAATGGTCCCATATGTGGTAATCTACAAAGCTGGGAGGCTTGGAATGGCCTGGCCCGGGTGGTGCCAGGGCTCTGTGTGGACTGGCTGGGCAGCGAGCAAGTTACGCAACCTCACCGAACCCATTCCTGCCTCTCTAAAAGAGGGTAATAGTGGCAGCATCCACTATACAGGGCTGGAGGGAGAGGTGAGTGAAGTGAGGTGTGGGCAGACTCTTTGTAAGCCATGCATGTTATCCATGTGCCAATTGCTTATTGTCTCTTCTGGACCTGGAATAAACCCTCTGGAGGGACATGGGATCCAGGCTCTGATTCTTATGGTCATCGACCTTTTGGAGGACTAAAGAGCAAAGTGTTATCTCTTTCCTCGCCCTGTAGGCCTTGACTGCTTTACTGAGTCAAAAGGCACATTTTGATAGGAAAGAATAGGTGGGGGGGGGCGGGGGCGGGGACAAAGGAAAAATTGCTGGAGTCCAACAGACTGGGGTTGGAATCCAGATTTCCTCATTTACTTGCTCTGTGTTTGACCTTGGGTGAATCTTTTATTATCTCAGAGCCTCAGTTTTCTCATGTGGAAAATGGTAGTAGACTTCCATTGATTCAATGGATTGCTGGGAGGACAGGGTGAGATACATCCTTGTAATAGGTGTTTATATATTACCCGGGACAGGTGCCATCAGTGACAGAAATAGATTATCTCTTGTAGGAGATGCTCTGCAGCAGATGAGAAATGAAATCGACAGTATCTTGTTCCCAGCACACCTGAGCAGCTGTCCTTTAACCCAGGATCATGGGGCTC